TTGGCTGTCTCCTCCTTCCCTGCAGTGGACAGCGTTACTCACATTTCCTGATATTATGACTTCTCCTTGGGTTCAGACAATGGGGGTATTGGCCTTGTGTTGGCAGCAGTTCTATTCCAGCTTTGGTTTTTATCTGATGGGTTCAATCAACTGTCCTTGCTTTTGCCCTTCGGGTGGCCCTTCTGTTGTGACGAGCATCAGGAGATTCACCTCCTTTAAGAACTTTCCTTAGTCAACCCCCAGCTCCACTGAGAGCCTCTTTAGTCTTCCTCTGTTGTGTGGACTGTCTGCTTCCTATAGTACTATTATGCAACTCAAGAAATAGCCCCAGCAGCTGTCCGTTTAAGCTCATTCTTTCAGAACAACACCTGCTATTAAATTGACCAATTTATAAAAGAAAACCTTTCAACCACTTCACTTAGCAGCCATGACTTCCTGGGCAGCCGTACTTGCTTTCAATTTCTCTCCTCCAGTTCAGCGGTAGAGGAACCCTGGTGGGCTGTAACAGCAAGATCCACAGTGAGAAACCACCAGCTGCTCTTTGGGAGAAAGACAAGACTTTCTCCTCCAATAAAGAGTTATGGTCTCAGAAACCCACAGGGGCAATTCTACGCTGTCCGATAGGGTCCCTTTGAGTCAGAATTGATTCATGGCAATGAGTTTGGGGTTGTTGTTTTTTTTAGTTCACTCTCAAACACACTCCAGTTGAGACTTTGGCTCCTCCACCTCACTGTTGTACATAAAGTTTGTCGTAACAGGGTCTCTGAGTCAGAACTGACTGGCCGATGACACCTAACAACACCACCACCCAACAACAATAACACCCTACTGGAACTGCTTGGTAAGGGCACTGACAAGCCATCTTCTGGTTGCTAAACCCAATGATGCGCCTCGGGACGAATTTCTTGGCTCTGTGGTAGTACTTAATACAGTTGGTTTCTCCTTGCTCTAGGGTAGGCTTTCTACTGGGTTTCCAGGACCCCAAGTTATTTCCCTCCCAGCCATCTCTGCGGTGTTTCCTAAGTTTTTTATCCACACTCATTCCATGTAATATAGAACACATACTAACCTATTTCTTTTTTTTCATCAAACCTATTAATTATCGTTTGTGTACTCCCATTAGAAACAATCTCAAGCATAAGGATCTCTGTTAATTTGGACCACTAGTGTTTCCCGAGTCCAGAACTGTATCACATACATCACATCTATAGCTATATCTCATTTGTGATTTTTTTTCCCTTAAAAAGTAAAATCATAAAACAAGAATAAAATACAATAAGATAAATAAATATCAAATAGGAAGTCACCTTAAACATACAAATGAGAAAATCAATAAGTAAGACACCATATATATATTTATTATTAATAAATCATTTTATTGGGGCTCTTACAGCTCTTGTAACAATCCATACATCAATTGTGCCAAACAACTTCGTACATATGTTGCCATCATCATTCTCAAAACACTTTCTACTTGAGCTCTTGATAGCAGCTCCTCTTTATTCCTCCCTGCCCCCACCATCCCATTCTTGTGGGCCTCTGATAAATTATAAATTATAATTATTGTTATATCTTACTCCAGCTGCTGTCTCCCTTCACCCATGTTTTCATTGTTTGTTCCCCTGGGGGAGGGGATTGATATACGTCAATCACTGTAGTCGGTTCCCCATTTCTCCCCCCACCTTCCCCCTACCCTCATGGTATCGCTATTCCCATTACTGCTCCTGAGCGGTTTGTGTCTCCTGGATCCCGCATGTCAAGAGCTCTTATCTGTACCAGTCTCACTGAATTTATAAGGTAGAGCTGGGGTCATGAAAGTGGGGGAGCGGAAGCATTAAAAAACTAGAGGAATGTTGTGTTCTTAGGTTCTATGCTGCACCCTGGCTGACTCATTCCTTCCTTGTGACCCTTCTGGGAGGGAATGTCCAATTGTCTACAGATGGGCTTTGGTTCTCCCCTCCAACCTCCATCATTTGCATCGGTATATTGTTTGTTTGGGGTCTTCTGATGCCTGATACCTGATCCCATGGACACCTCTCGATCACACAGGCTTGTGTGCTTCTTCCATATGGGCTTTGTTGCTTCTCAGCTAGATGGCCACTTGTTTAACTTCAAGCCGTTAAGACCCCAGACACTATATCTTTCAACAGCCAGACACCATCAGCTTTCTTTACATTTACTTTTGCACCTATTTTGACATCAGCAATCATGTAGGGAAGGTGAGCATCATGGAATGCCAGGTTATTAGAACAAAGTGTTCTTGCATTGAGGGTGTTCTTGAGTAGAGGCCCAATGTCCGTCTGCTACCTTAATAATTAACATTTAAATATATGTACATAGACGTATATCCCTATTGTTATATATTAATATATTTACATAACACATCCCTATATTTATACCTCTATAAATGTTTTTTTGCCGCCTAGTTCTTTCCTCTTGTCCCACTATCATGTTCAGCCTTCATTCAACTCAGTACTTTCTCTTGGCTACAATGCACTTGATCAAACCGCACCAACATTCTATACCTTCCTCACTATGGACCCCAGATCTCATATTGTTCCTGGGTCCACCAGCTCCCCACTCTCTTCCCCTCACCTCCTCCTCTCCCATGTCCCCCTGGAGCCATTGGGTCCTGTTGTTTTCTCATTGGGATTGGTTGTCCTGCCTATCCCACATGGACAGACATGAGAAAAAGAAGGGGGAAAAAAGCCCATAAAAAGTTCCAGGTCAAAAAAAAAAAAAGTTCCAGGTCTGTCTGCTGGCCCCTCTGAATGTTTTCTAATCAGATCTGGTGAAGTGCCATGCCCTGCCCACTGATTTCGAAGTCTATTTTCAGGACTCCTCGGGGACCCCTCTGCTTTGCTCCCCTTGCTGCTCTGTTATGCTCTATTCGTGCTTCCCTCTGGTGTGTATGTGGCTGTGGGGGGTGGCCTCTGGTGTGCACACTACCAGCACTGTGTCCCCAGTGCTGTCCCCCGTAGCACTGTGGGTCAGTGAGGGGACACTGTGTCTCGTGGTGGGGCCAGCCCCACGGCCCTTTCTGTGCATTGGCTCCTCCGAGCAGGAATGTCGGTCGTGAGGCTTGGTGGGCCAGGATGCGGTTCTCTCTTTCTCTTTTTCCCTCTTAGTTGCTCCTGTGTGACACCAAATACATTTTAACGTTCAGTAGTTTTAAAAGTGCCTAAAAGTAAAAGGCAAGTGCAAACTTAAAATGAAATCACAACCTATGTGATAGATATCTATATATCATGATTCCTTACAAATTGTGGTAGTTATGTAATTGTCCATTTGAGAGGATTATGAGTGAACGGTGGAGTCTAGTCTGTCAATCGAATTATAGCCAATGAGGCTTCTGTGTGGGCATGACCTATTCCTGAGCATTCTGGAAAATCCTGTACTTCCTCCTTGGAGGTGGGAGACTCTCTGCTCACATCCTGGGAGACATAGCAGCTGACAAGACACATGGACCCACCCTGATGCAGAGACCCCTGCCAGCGCTGAGATGTTTCCAATGCCACTGGATCCAAAGACTTTCTACCCACTGGCCTGTGACCTTCTACATTCGGCATCATTGCATGTGTTTGGTGAGTCTGAAGAGGACTGTGTAGATTGCTATCAGACATATGGACTTATGGACTTGATCTGGACTGGGCTGGGATGTTTTCTCAATGTTCAATTGCTCTTGTATATAAATCTCTTATACACATATGTGTGTCCATGGATTTGTTTTAACACACAAATCAAGATAAATTATTATACCAGTAAAAAATGTAAGAGAGACATGGAAGAAAGTTCACAAATAACCCAAGACAAAAAATACAAAGGTCAATGGCACTAATAAAGTAAAAATTTAAACCACAATGAAATGTTAATTTTGAAATTATTTTTCAATTAACCTTCAATTCAATAATTCTACTTCAAGGGCACTATCCCACCACTTTAAAGTGCTTAAAAGCAAAGCTACCACTCTGAGGACTACGGGGCGCCTTATTTGACCCAAGGTTTTTTCAATCACTTCATATGCATGTGAAAGTGGGATACTGAATAAGGAAGGCTATAACAGAGTTGATGGCTTTGAATTATGATGTTGGAGAAGAATTCTGAAAGTAGCAGGGACTGCCAGGGAAACAAACTAATCTGACTTGGAGGAAGCACAGGCAGAGTGCACCTTAGAAACAAGAAAGACAAGAATTCGCGTCATATATTTTGAACACATTGTGAAGAGAGACTAAAAACAAAACAAGACTCACTGCCAGCAAATGGTTTCCAACTCAGAGAAAATGTTTTGAGAATGATGAGGGCAATGGATGTACAAACGCGCTTTACACAATTGATGTGTGTATGGATTGTGATAAGAGTTGTATGAACCCCTAATAAAGTGATTAAAAGAAAAAAATAAGAAAAAAAACAGTTGAACACCTTAAAAAAAAAAAGGATTCCAACTCAGTAGGAAAGGGTAAAATAGCCTCAGTGGGTTTCTGAGACTAATGGTTTCTCCCCCCCCTTGTACTCATTGTTATTCCTGTAATTTTTTTTAATTGTAAAAATATACACAACAAAACATTCTCCAATAACTTCTACGTGTATAATTCACTGTCATTGATTATACTTTTCATGTTGTACAACCAAGAGACTGTAACTCTTTATGGGGGTAGAAAGCCTCATCTTTCTTCTGAGGAGTGGCTGGTAGTTTCAAACTGCTGACCATACAGTTAGCAGCCCAATGTGTAGTATCTATGCCATCTGGCTTCCTGAAGGAGAGACTAGTCCTTGGAAAAGGGCATCATGCTTGTTAAAGTAGAAGGTCAAGGACAGGGTTTGACACGGTGGCTACAACAATGGGCTCGAGCGTACCAATTACTGTGAAGATGGTCAGGACCGGGCAGTGTTTCTTTCTGTTGTCATAAGGCTGCTAGGAGTCAGAATGGACTCCCAAATAGTTTAGAGAGACACACAAATATATATGTTCAAAGTTATTTATTGTAGAAATATTTATCAAAAACAACTTAAAAATTCCAACCACTTAAAGGCTTAAATAAAGTATGAATAGTAAAACAAATAAATCATTGAAGAAAAAGAACACTTTATTCAATAATCAGTGATACGGAGAAAAGTTGAAGAGTAGAAGAAACTGATTATGAAACTACCTGGAACCAGAGTTCAAAACTTCAAAATCAAATGTATATACATACATGACAAATAGCAAAATGATTAAGAAAATATATAAATACTAAAGATATTTATATACAGTGGCGTTATGAGAAATTTCACCTTTAAAAGTAATAAATAAATGCTAATAATATAATATAAAATTGAGATTGAAGGGATTACAGAAAAATGCAAACATAAACTCTGTACACTGTGAATGATCTTTTGATTTACAAATGGCTAAATCTTCCAGCGAAAAAGTTTTTATTTCCTGTGGAAGTAGCATTTGCATTTTTTCCATGACTGGATTTGGACTCGGGATCCACTGTAACATATTTGATCTGGAAGCCTCCTGCTGTCACTGAAGCATCACTTAGAAACTTCAAGGTCATGACATTGCCTATGGTGGGAGAGGTGTGAAAGAACAAAGATGTTACTCCTTCAATTTGGCAGACAATTCAGAGACTTAACATTTTCATAGAATATAAGAATTTATCAACAAGACTTTCAGATTTCAGAACTCATTACTGGACCAAGAGAGAGTATCATGATTCATAGAAGCAGCAGTCAAGAAATCAAATGATATATTGCACTGGGCAAATTTGCTGCCCAAGATCGCTGTAAGTGTTAAAGAAAAGAACAAAAGGTCACTTTGATGACAAAGGTACACCTGCAAGTCATATTTTCTTTTTTTTTAATTTAATTAAATTTATTTATTTTTAAGTCATATTTTCATTCACTTCAGATGTACTTGGAACCGGGCAATGAATAAAGAGGGACAGGGAAGACTTGATGCCTTTGAATTGTGGTGCTGCCCAAGAACACTGACACACACAGGACTATCAGAAGAACAAACACGTCTGTCTTGAAAGAAGTACAATCAGAATGCCCTTTGAGAAATGAGGATGGTGAGACTTCATCTCATATGCTTTGGACATGTTATCAGGAGGGATGGGGCCCTGGGGGGAAAAAGGCATCATGCTTTGTAAAGTAGAGGGTCAGCAAAAGAGAGGAAGACCCTCTAGGAGTTGGATTGACACAGTGGCTACACCAATGAGGTCAAATATGACAATTGTGAGGATGGTTTGTTCCATGGCACATGGGGTTGCTGTTATGAGTTGGAGCTGCCTCGGTGGCACCAAACAACAATATCATTTGGATCTCCCAAACTTAGCGTCTATAAAATAATTGCCGGGAAACCCAGGGTCTTTCCTTCTACTGCCTGTTGTTAGCCGCACATTATTCTACCTGAATGACTGAAGGAAGCATCGCCTGTCTTTAATCCAATATCGTGAGGAATATTTTCCAAAGGCTAAAGAAGCCTTTGATGAAGAGACCTAGCCTTCCAAAGTCTCCGTCACTAACACGGCCCTAGGATAATATGAATATTGAAAGACACAGTAAATAAAGGACTCATTAGAACTTCATTGGTAGGGACTATACTTACACTTTCTCATCAATCCAAATGTAATCAAATTAGAGGGAACAAAAGTGGATTAATTGGTCACAGTTAAAAGAGCCCAAGACTCCTCTTTGGACAACCCAATGTACTAGAGGTGTGAAGGTTATATTTAAACAACTCTGTGGCCAGAAGTAAACAACATCTGGGGCATAGGGCTAACCCAAGACCCTCGGTCATGACTGAAAATGTACATTTTCATCCCTACCCCCCCACCTACACACACCTTTTTAATCTTTGTTGCAATCATCCCTGTATTAATGTGTCCCTAAATTGGACAGATATTTATCCATCATTTTAAAAGGTTTAATTATGAATATAGTTTCCTCCCAACTTCAAGATATTCTAGCCTTTCCTGGAAGGTCTTTCCGCTGTAGGAATCTGATTGGTCGCTCTTGGTGGGTGTGTCTACAAGAACAATGGAGAAACAACTGCAGGGAATTACTATCACAAGATTTTCCTTTGATATATGGCCTCCTTGTGGATCTGGTTAATACCCAGGCCATAACGTAACCTTTAGTCTTAACACAACCCTTATTTTTCAAATTAAAATTGTCCAAGAAGAACTAGCTAAGAAATCTTCCAAACCCATAAAGAGTACTCTCTATATTTCTGATCCATATCAACAACGCTGGGATGTATTCTTCCACTTAATTCCTCAAGCAGAGACGCTAAGTTAGGTTGTTCCCATTCTACTGGGAACAACAACAAAACTCAGATAAATAACCCCACTTTCACCACATCTATGGAATGGCTTCTAATGTCTGTATTTACATCAATTATAACATTACAAGTCACTGATTGGTTCACTACCAATTGAAAACAATGATCAGATATTTGTTGGGTGGCCCCTACTGGCACCTTTTGGCTACGTGGATCCAACCTTTGGCTTTAGTCACCACCCCTGACCCCGCAGCACCCCCAGGCTGGATTGGAAGATACCGTATACTCAGCCTGAGCTGGACTCAGAATGCATTTTAATTGATCTCACTTCACCAAGTAGTATACTTTAGATTACAGTAAGAACTCGTTCGTCTCAATCAGTCTTTCATTGGATTGGTTATCCAGTGGTAGTATTCTGAACTCCAGTCAGACTTAAAGATGGTTGGCACATTTAAAAATACTAAGCAGGACTCTTTCACTTGGCACAGCGCATTCTATAGTCGGGAGGATTGTGTGGGCTGTGAGCCCAAAGGTGCACAAGTTCCTATCAATAAATAGAAAAGTATTCCACTGTTGGAGATGAGAACAACTAAGTGCAGATTAAGAAACTTGATCCAAAAGAAATTAAATTAAAAGCAAGGATAAGAACTGATAAAACTGATCGTCTTAAAAAACGGGGCACGATGATAGGCTGTGAACTATCAGACATCAAGATGGCCAACAACGAACTGTTCAACACAGTGTTTAGTCCAATACTGAAATCATTTCCTACTCAGTGTTTAGAGGGCTCTGGTGATGCAGTGATCAAAGCACCTGTCTGCTAACCAGAAGGTCTGCAGCAGGGGCTCACCAGGCATTCTCTGGAAGAAAAATGTAGCGGAGTGCATCCATAAAGATTACATCTTTGGAAATCCTAGGGGGCAGATCCACTCTGTCCTATAGGGTCTTTGAGAGCTGAAATGGACTCAGTGACAAGGATTTGTTTTTTTAATACATCATTTACATAAAATAAATAAAAATACTAAGCAAATATATACAAGCTGCTCTAAATGAAAGTGCCTATGGGCTTCAGGATATCAACACCCAAATGGCCATGATGAAAGTAGTACTTCAAATTAGAATGGCATTTGACATTGTCGCTGCACCCCAAAGAGGTACTTTACCCTAATCTGATTGCTGTGTTTGTGTTGCTCACAACAGTGCTGATACTATACTCTATGTTAATCATATACAACATATAGGCTCTCACCTCATGGATCCTTTTCCTTCACTAATGGATATTACAATTAATTGGTTTTCTTCCTTGGTAAATAATGGGAAAAATCACTATTTTGTTTTGTAATCTTTATTTTCCTTGTTGTCTCTATTACTGTTATTATAAAATGTTTTGTTTGGGTTCAACATATTTTATCCATGAAACGCTGGATTTTAAAACCACATGACTCTTCATCTAAAATGATGCTGGTTTCACTCTTTTTACCCAAGATTGTGTTATTAATTATGTCCCTTTTCTCACCTGTACACGCTGCAAAGGAATGTAAATTAGACCAACAAGTTCCTCCTACCCCCATCTCCTTATATTGAGAAACAATATAAGTAGTCTTCTGATAAAAATGAAAATTGACAGGGCAGGGCTTGTGGCAATTTGGTAGCATCTGTCAACAATTAAAGGAGTTCTGGTGGCACATATGAGTAAGTGATGGACAACTAACTGTAAGGTTGGCAGTTCAAACCCACCAGCAGATCCTTAGAGAAAAATGAGACTCTCTGTACCTGTCAAGATTGCCAGCCTTGGAAACCCCATATAGATGAGAATGAACTTGATGGCAGTGGGTTTGGTTGTTGGTAGCAACATTTAAAAGGCATGATTTCTGACTCTAAAATCTCACTCTTAGGAAGCCAGTATGATTAAGAACTAACTAACCAATATGTAAAAGTAGAGGTTAAAATGCTAATTAAAATAATGCATAGCAAAGAAAGAAAAAAGTCAGAAACAAACATCTTCAGGATGTTAAATATTAGTGCATGACAATGGTGGTACATTCATTACAATGGTCTATTTAGGTAGTTATTAAACAGATTTAGAATGACCTAATGGTCATATTTTCACTTGGGAAAATGTTCATGGTGTCCATGCATCTGAAGAATGCCTGAGAGATGTCCTGCACACAGTTCAATATCCTTCTGGGGTGGAATTGGAGAGCTGAGAGTGGATACATTCTTACTTTGTATATACTTGTTATTACTAATAAAATTATGGGTATTTAAAATTTTATGTATTAATTTATTATCTAACATAAATATCTTAGATAAATAAGCACACACTCAAAAAATAAAAAGGTAAAAATGTTAAGAGGATTTGGCTTGACTGATAGGATTGTTGCTTAAAAGTATCTTATGTCTTTTATTCCCTCTCTATTGCCCCTTTATCTAGTTCCTCTTCCTGATTTGCTGTCTTTGATTTTGTATTCAACTGATCTGTTTCTCTTTGAATACCTAATTGTGTGGCTCCCCACCACTCTCAGCTTCTTAGAGTTGTGAGAGAAAAAAATTGATTTGACAATGGCTAGAGTAATTTTGTCTATTGTAGACAAAATCCATTTTCAGGCCTCTTGACTCTCTTTACAAACAGGATTCCTGTCCCTCAGTGACCCCCTACAGTTCATACGCTTTCTTCTTACTGCTTTATGTTAACATACAAACCAAACCGATCAAAACAAAGAAACCGAGGCTAAATAGTCTTCCTAGAGAATCAGTTAATGAGAAATGAATTAAGGTTTTAATATTAATTATTCAAGGATTGGTAATTTCCATCTTTTTAAAGAACGATCAAGACCTAATTTAGACAGAGAGCTAGTAGTATCCACATAGATTTGTTTGGAGCCCTGGTAGTACAAGGGTTATATCTTGGCTGCTGGCCAGAAGGTTGGTAGTTTGAACCTCTCAGCCGCTCTGCGGCAGAACATTGTGGCAGTCAGCTTCCAGAAAGCTCACAGCTTTGGACCCTCCTGGGTTTTGGCTTTTGAATAGCATTGGGTTTGGCTTCTGGCTAGCTTTGTTGTTTTCAGTTGGAAGAAGCATGGTGATAATTTTATGACACAAAAGAAGAATAGCGCATAGAAGAAAACCAACTTGCTAGTGTTGATGCCGAAAACAGAAGGAGAAAATGGAAGCATCTCAGAAAATAAAGGTTCTCAGCCAGAAAGTAGCAGTTTGGGGTAACCAGGGTGATATCACTTATTGAGATTAGTTGAAGACCTTCCAGGAAGACATTCTTTGGGTTTACTGTATTTCCCAGAACAAAGTCCCGCAAAGTAATTTGGAGAGAGGTAGGGAAGGGTTTTCAAGCCCAGCTCATTTAGCCTTTTAAGATTTACAATGTTTAATTAGCATATTTAAAGCTTCTTGGCTTCTCCAATTTTAAGATCATTTAACCCAATGTTTTCCAAATTTGCTTGACCATAGAGTTCTTTTTCTCATGCAACCAGCTATTAAAAACATCTCAGAGAACTGTGTTCTAGAACACTCCATGGATGCTTTACTGAGATAAGAATGGTGTCAACACACACACACACACACACACACACACACAAAGAATGGTGTCAACACAAGGTAATCTTTTTTTGTAGTGACCGAATATATTTTTACCAGCTTTGTAAATTACTTCAGTCTCTTAATGATTAAAATGTTCAAGTATTTATCAGTGCATTTTATAGAAATCGCAAGCTATCGCCATATGTATGACTTGTTTCTACATTTTCCTTGCAAGGCATTGGTATCTCTTTTGAAAAGTGTAAATAAAAAACACGTATTTGGATTTTACAAGCTAACAGACTTCAGTTCTCTCGGATTTAAAAAGTAATGATTGTATTTTCATCTATAAGGGATGAGGCAAAAAATTACAGCTTTGCTTCATAATTAAGAGTATTACCTGTACTAATAATATCTCCTGGAAGCTCATCTCCACAGTATCTGAAAGAGAATTAAAAAAAAGAGAGAGTTCACACATATGAATAGTACATAGCTATTATGAGTGGCCCTTATTGATAATTAAATGCTTTATTTCTCTAAATAATGGCTTCTTTTTCTAATGTTTTGAATTTTTAATTGTTTTATTTATAAATGCAAAGACAAGTTAGAGCCAAATTTGCTGTTTGAATTAGTCTTGTCACCATATTAATAAGATGTACTTGGAAAAAATTTTTTTAAATGTGCTTCTGAAAATAAATAAATAGATAAATAAATAACTATGCTTCTGATTAAGATATTGATATCTTCATAAAGAATAGATGCATGGTGAGTGGTTCTAAAAGTCTGAATTCCAAGGTAGGGTTATCTGAACATAGAAAAATTATGCTGCACCTTATAGACATAAAAAGGTTAGATTTTTATCTGAATCATGATTTAAAAGGAACCCCCTTGTGTATTATATAAAAAAGTAAGAGAATATGCCAGTTTCAGATGTGTGATACATTTAAGAGAGGGAAAAAGTCTGCTTAAAGATCAATTATGTCATATAAACCTAATGAATAACAAAGCACCCTGCTGAAACCCACCCCCCAAAAAAACCCCCAAAAAAGCCCTCTGGCTTATTGGTTGGAGGCTAGACTGGCAGGATCCCCAATACTATGGACTTTGCTTATCCTCCAGGTCTGGAGCTTTAAGGAACCCACTATTAGAATAATAAACTATTTAGGATCAAAAGGGTAGCATGTATGCAAGGACAGAAGGTGGGAAGAAGGAAAAGTGGAAGGAAGTGGGGTAAGTAATACATGGAGAGAAATAAAACGATTTGTAACAGAATGGGTATCCACTGTTGAAATGGAGCTTATGGCCAGCTCCCCAAATCTTTGCCTACCTCACAATAACAATTGAAAACAAAATCTAAGAAAAAAGCAGAGGTATATAGATCTAGATGAGGATACAATGAGAAGTAGTAGTTTCATAGTTTGGTAAAGGTTACTATGATTTTGTAGTACTAAAAAAAAGAAAGAAAATCTTCCAAAATATTTATTCTTTTATTTAGGATCATAAGTGATTTTTGGAACAAGGCCTAAAAATGTCAAAACCTGAAAACATCATTCTAATTCCCAAGGTAAGAGATCCATCCTTAAAAAAAAAAAAATCATCAAAACACCTTGTTTTACATTCCTCCTTCTCATCATGACTTTATAAAATGGTTTTTAAAAAAAACAGCGATTTGGATTTCTCCCCATAGTCCTAGTCTGCAAACCAAATAATAAAACCAAAAGTAACCATTTTTCCCCTGTAAAAAATAGAACGTTTAAGCTACAAGTTTCAAGTCAACATAAAAAGCTTTTAAATCTGTCATTTTAATTGTCTTTATTGCCACATTTTATTAAATCACTATCATGGATACTAGAAAACTGATAACAGTCTAACATGGTCATCAAATGTCAATTTGACTGTATGAAACACCTCATGGTACACTCATCAGTTTTGCAGTATTTTGTAAGGCATTGAGTTTAAAACTAAGTAGCACCAAGATTTGCGGTAGGAATACCAATGATTGTGATCCAGCGTGGTGAAAACAACACAAACAACACTGAACAAAGGGGTGTTTGTTTTTATGGCATGCAGACTTATTTTTAACACATCCGTTAATTAGTTCTTTAGACAAGTTCAATGAGGAAAAAAAAGAGTATGCTTATCTGACATCATGATATTTAGAAAATGCTTTGCATATGAAAGGAAGGCAGTGCTTCTGGATTGAGAAAGACAGAAATCAAAATGGTTAAAACCCATACAAACTTTCATCTCTCTTCCTCCTATTCTTATAGCCAAATCATGAAGCTTTTATAAATGGATGACATAACTAGTTTTTAAAACTTGACATCAATTGAAGGGCAACTTCTACTATTTTAATAAGTCTATGTAGCAATAGCCATGACTTAATGTGTTATAAAAAATCTAAAAAAACAAAACAACCCCCCCCCAAAAAAAAAACTTTAAGAAAAGATAATGTGTTAGAGCAGTGTAGAAATACTAGAAAATCAATATTGGAGAATAAAGGGGTAAACTTAAGCAAAGCAATATCAAACAAAATACCAAATATTCGCTTAACTTCCCGTATGGGGAAACCACACGTACCTTCCCACAAAGCCATGAACGTCATCGTAGCTGTCATATATCTCGACATAGTCCGCCAAACAACCTATGTCATCTTCAAGGTCAAAGTTCAAGAAGCTCAGGTGAATTCGCTGACCATACTTGAGTCTAATGTGCCAGTAGCAGATCTGGTTATCCTCGTACTCATTTGGGAAACCCGGAGATTTAAAAATTCGTTTTGGATCTGTAAAGATGCCGCCGCACTCCTTTGCTGAGGTGGAAGAGTGGGCAGGTGGAGAGAGAGCATTAGGAGGAAAAAACAACAACAAACCACCTTTATCTTAATGTAAGGTTTACGTCTTAGTCTGCTCGTACCTATTACTTTTACGAACTCTTAATGAATTAGCTGAATACAAACAATGTATGTGGAAGAAAGGCCTGGCAATCTGCTTCCAGGAAGTCAGTATTTGAAACCTCGCTTAGCACGATTCTACTGACATTCGTGAGGCTACCAGGAGTATGAATAGAATTGGTGCCAATTGGTATATACTATAGTATATTTGCTTACAACTGAAGAGTAGTATACTTTTTAATGAATAGTTTTAAAATTCTTTAGAATAAGCTTGTGGAACAGTGGTCAGCACTGGGCAGTTAACTGGAAGGTCTTGGGTTCCAGAAAGATTGACCCCCTTAGGAATTATGGGGCAGTCCCACTCTGTCCTCTAGGGCTCTAAGCTTGAATCAGCTTGATGGCAGGGGACTTGGTGTTTGGGTCTATCTTTCAAACTAAATAGAAAAAAAAAAAAAACAACAACCCTGGAATTTAATTAATTGGTTTTTTAGGGCCAAGTGTTTTACGTGTTGAAGGAGCCCTTTTGGCCCAGGACGGTAAGCATTGAACTAACTGAAAGGTTGGTGGCAGCGTAAACCTACCAACCACTGCACAGGAAAAAATGGGGCCATCTCCTTCCAGAAACATTTGCAGCTTCAGAAACCCTGTCGAGCAGAGTTTCTCCTATGGGATCACTATGGGTCAGAATCCACTCAAAAGGAGTGGCTTTGGGGTTGGGTGTGTGTCCAGTTCTGCACATTACCAACAACCCGATCAAGATGGCAAGAATTTTTTTAAGTCATTTTTTGGGGGGCTCAAACAACTCATCACAATCCATACATACATCAATTGTATAAAGCACATTTGTACATTTGTTACCCTCATTATTCTTTTTAAAAAATTGTTTTACTGAGGGCTCGAACAATTCTTATCACAGTCCATATATACATACATCCATTGAGTCAAGCACATATGTACACCTGTTGCCCTCATCAATCTCACAACATTTGCCCTCTACTTTAGCCCTCAATATCATTTGCTCATTTTCCTCCTCCCTCCCCCCTCATCCCTCCCTCCTGAACCCTTCATAATTCATACATTATTATAGTTTTATCATAAGTTACACTGTCCGACGTCTCCCTCCGCCCTCTTCTCTGCTGTCCATTCCCCAGGGAGGAGGCTATACTTAGATTCTTGCAATTGGTTCCCCCCTTCCACTCCGCATTTCCTTCACCCTCCAGGCCTCACCCCTCTCACCACTGGTCCTGATGAAGTCATCTATCCTGGATTCCCTGTGTTTCAAGTTGTCATCTGTACCAATGTACATCCTCTGGTCTAGCCAGATTTGCAAGGCAAGATTGGGATCATGATATTGGGGAGGAGGAAGCATTAAAGAACTAGAGGAAAGCTATATGTTTCATCGTTGCTACCCTGCACCCTGATTGGCTCGTCTCCTCCCCAAGATGGCAAGAATTTTTGTCCTGCAGTGTCACCACTGTGTCTTTAGTGACTGAAGTCATTCGAGTAAAGATGCCTATAAATTCCCTATAAGAAATCATCATAGAATTTCAGGGGCACAAGGACTCTGAGGGTCATTCTAATCCAATGAGAAGAAACAACACATCATCATTTTATACTTTCCTTTTACGGTTTGAAGAAATACTGATTCTAATGTTTAAAGACTTGGTGCCAATATTTGTTTATTTTCTCAAAGTCATTCATCATTTCATATGGGCTCCGTCAGGCTACGGAGCCAGCTGTGGCAGGGAAACCACTCGGTAAGTTGGGGTGTCTGGAAGAAGGTCGCGGCGGTGATTGGTGGCGCTAAGTCAGTTCTGATGCATGCAGACCACATGTGTGTAGTAGGTAGGACTGCTCTGTTGCATTGTCAAGGCTGTGACCTTTCAGAGGCAGTTCACATCATCGACCTTTTGACTAGTGGTCAAGACTTAACCGGTAAGGTGGTAATGGTTAGTTCACTCCTTTAAAGATATTTTCCATTTTATCAGCCAGAGGCTTTCCCCATAGGTTATAGGTTTTTTTTTAAAAAAATGTATCAATTGTCTTAGAACCCTTAATGCCCTAGGAATGAAAGGATTACTTCCCCAAAGTAGAAAAATTAAGGTGGGGAAAAAAGATCAGGGTCCACGTCTGAGCTTTCTGACCATTCTCTACTTCAATTTCTTCTTTGGGTAAAATGAAAATAATAATGCTTCTGTCTCCCGCTCACAGGACTAGTCTGAAGGTAAAATATAGAAGATAAAGCTAAGGGTTTGTGCAAATGTAGACTATTCTTATTGCACAATTAAATATGATAATGAATATAGCTTACATGTACATGAAAGGTGAAATGGTGTTGAAAGATGATAGAATTTTTCTACAAACTTTTTGAAGTTTCCATGTGCATAAACATGGACAGTACCAGCTTTTCAAATGCGTTGCTCTGTCCCATAGCCATAATATATATCATTGTTACCTACTCAGGGTACCCAATCATTATTATTATGTCCTATGTAATTATTGCCTCTATTGTGTGATTAGAAAAACAACAGATTCACAAAGCTGACTTGATCTCTAAGAATGGACAAATGGTTAAAATATTCTTACATACAGGTGGTCAACATCATCTAATGCATTCAGAACTTGAAATGCAAGTTTACTTCTCATGACCCAATTATCTCTTACTATAATCAGCTCTGACCTGATGATATTGATTAATAGATTGCTTTATTTTTGTGAGACTGGCACAGTGAGTAACACTAAGTGTGAGGTCAGCAGTTCAAAACTGCCAATCACTTTTAAAGGAGAAAGACGAGGCTTTCTTTCTATTTCTTATGGAGAGTCACAGCCCCACAGGGGGTAGTTATACTCTGTCTTATAGGGTCACATCCATGGCAGTGCGGTTGGTTTTGGTTTCAAGTTTCGCTGCCAGTTATTTTACTGTGAACTGTTCTTATTCTAAGGCTCGTCCAAGCAGTCTCCAGTCTCCTTTAGGTTAACTACATCCTAACTAATCAGCATACCACTAAATCCAGAGGCACTAGTCTCCCAGAATAAAAAGTAGTGAGACTTTCTGAAGGAAGAAAAGTAGCTTATAAAACTTTGTAATTAGACCTGGAATTATGTATGCTTTTTGTTTTGTTTTTCCTAAAAGTTATATTATCTTCCCCTCCCCCCCTCTCCCCCTCTTTTTATTCAATCCTTTGTTTTCTTTTTGTTTTGTTTCTGGTATTGTTGGTTTTGTTTACCTATATAAGATGGGCATGGGAAGCAAGCTCCAGGAGAAATCAACGGGACAGGTGGTTCCAGAGGGATTTGGGCGTAGGAGGCGGGGGAAGGAAGCAGTGAGCAAGCAAACAACACCACAGACAGGGGAACAACCAGGGAATTAAAAACAACAATGAGAAGGAGGAGGACATAGAGATCCTGGGGGTGTTGGAGTCACAGCACTGTAGCTAAGAGGAATTACTAAGAAGCAGAAATAGGGTGAGGGTGATGGTGGGAAAAGAGGAAGGTAAAGGAAATAGAAGAATGATCTAGGAAGCAAAGCTATGGATAAGAGGTATAAGTATACCTGTCTACATATGTAAATACATTAATTCATAAAAATAGAGGTATTGACCTATATACATATATTTATATGGCAATATATGGAAGTAGTGGATGGCCTTTGGGCCTCTGCTCAAGCCCTGCCAAATTGCAAGAACACTTTGTTCTAACAACCTGTCATTCTGTGATGCTCAGCCTCCCTGCACAATCACTGAAGACAAAGTGGGTACATAAGCAAATGTAGTGAAGGAAGCTGATGGTGCCTGGCTATCAAAAAAGATAAGTATTGGGGGGGTCTTAAAGGCTTGAAGTTAAATAAGTGGCCATCTAGCAGAGAAATAACAAGCCCACATGGAAGAAGCACACCAGCCTGTGAGATCATGAGGTGTCGATTGGATTGGATAACAGGCATCAAAGACCCAAACAAACCCAAAAAAACCCATATTGCTGAGAACAAGGGGTGTCAGAGCAGAGACCCCAAACCCATCTGTAGACAATGGGATATCCCCTCACAGAAGGGTCATGAGGAAGGGATGAGTCAACCAGGGCACCGTTGTAGCACTGATGAAACACACAATATTCCTTTGGTTCCTTGAGGCTTCCTCACCCTCCACTATCATAACCCCAGTCCTGCCTTTCACTGTGAGCTAGGCCAGAGCATGTACACAAGTACAGATAAGAGATAAGAGCTCATGACACACAGAATCCAGGAACAGGAATGGGAGTAGCGATACCAGGAGGGCAGGGGGAAGGGGGGGGAAGGAGTGGAGGAGAGGGGAATGATTGTAATAAGCAACACATAACTCCCTCCCCCCAGGCGGATGAACAACAGAAACCATGGGGGAAAGGAGGCAGTGGTCAGTGTAAGATATGAAAAGAATAATTTACAATTTATCAAGGGGTCACAAGGAGGGGAGGGAGGGGAAAAAAGAGGAACTGATACCAAGGGCTCAGATAGAAAGCAAATGATTAGAAAATAATGATGGCAACATATGTACAAATGTGCTTGATACAATTGATGTATGCCCCCCCACCCCCCCACCCCCGCCCCAGAAAAGTATCTTTTAATTAAAAACAAAAAACTGTGTAATTGAGATGACCTTCATTTAAAAGGACAATAGAAATATTGTGAGAATGCTTCCATTAACACTTTTCCACAACCCTCATCTTTTACCTTTGGAATCGATGGGAATTGGAATTCAGAGCAACTATAGTTTATCAACCAAAAGAGGAATCAAACAGTACGTTTGGAAATAAAAACAATACATTTGGGAATAAAAGTTTTTTTACTCTTGAAAGTAAAAAATGGTGCTTGTCACCAGCCTGTGTGATCATGAGGTGTCGATGGGATCAGGTATCAGGCATCTAAGACCCATAATAAAACCATACCCAATGTGAATGGGGCGTGGTGGTGGTGGAGCATAGAGTGGAGACACAACGCCCATCTGTAGACAATTGGACATCCCCTCACAGAGGGGTCACAGGGAAGAGATGAGCCAGTCAGGGTGCAGTATAGCACCGATGAAACGCACAACTTTCCTCTAGTACTTTGGTGCTTCCTTCACCCCACTATCATGACCTCAGTTCTACCTTACAAATCAGATTAGACCAGAGCATGCACAGTGCTACAGATAAGAGCCTGCAACACAGGGAATCCAGGATAGATAAACCCCTCAGGGCCAACAAGGAGAGAAGAGATACCAGAAGGATTAAGGGAGGGTGGGGGGAGAAAGGGGGAACCAATCACAAGGATCAGTCTAGAACCATCCCCTCCCAGGGGGACGAATAATGGAAGAGTGGGTGAGGGGCGATGGAGGAGGATGTAAGATATGGAAAAAATAATCTATAACTTATCAAGGGTTCGGGAAGGAGGGTGGGTGGGGGAGAGAGTGGGAAGAAATGGGGAGCTGATATTGGGGACTCAAGTGGGAAGAGAATGCTTTGAAAATGATGATGGTGGCAAATGTGCTTGACACATTGGAGGAATGTATGGGTTTTGATAAGAGATGTAAGAGCCCCCAATAAAAGTTTTTTTTTTTTTAAATGGTGCTTGCATTGTATGTGAAAGAAAAAGTTGTGAGAAAGAGAGCAGGCAGAAAGGATGATATGTGTTTTGCTATGAGGTATTTGACTATACGATCATTCCTAAAACATTTCAAACTGACCTGAAATTCATAATATATAAATCATTTGCAAGCATTCATTAACATTTCATCTGAAGTGGGTCTAGGTAATAGTTCTAGCAAAATTGTTTTCTACTTTGAGCATATGAGGGGTTTCAAAAAGTTCACAGAATATTGGAGTTACAAGGTAATGAATTTCCCCACACACATTTTGAGGCTCCCCTCGCACATTATTTTGAGATTAGGTCAGTTTTGAACAGGAGGCTCTTTCTCCAATGATTAGTATTATTAAATAACTTTTATAGTAATACGCTAAACTTCACTATAAGTCTCTGGTGGAATCTGTTACAGAATAGATCCAAATGGAACATTATTTAATATAAACACCAGAAGGTGTTACACAATCATGTAACACATAGCATTTTATAAAATTGTCCTGGGAGAAATATAACTGAAAATAACTTAGTTTTTTTTTCCTCCAAAATCATGAAGAAAAAATAACTCATTAAATAAACAAAATGAATTATTTTTTCCCTTAAAATTCCCTAGCTACACGCAGCCATGGGGAACTATATGAAAACAAATATCCTGTACTAATACCCAAGATAGCCGGCATATTTTGTCTCAACGGACCAGAGAATGAGAGTTACTTAGTGTGCACGTCTGAGCATGAATGTATCAAAGGTATTGGGGACAAGCTTTGTTTATTGGATCTTCTCTTTGCCCGTCCATGGAAGGGACCCTTTCTGAACAACGGACACTTTCAGGGTTAGCTGTTAGCTATGACTCTTTCAGAATCTGCATTTCTCTCCTTGTGGCCCGTTGACTTATTTCCCTGACACAGAGATGACCTGCATTCTCCATCTTACCTGCCCACTAATGGTTGATGCTCTGATTTGGGGTAAATTGCTTAACTCTTTAAAGTCTCAACTTCTGATTTCTAGCCTGAGGATAACAAGAATACCTTGTAGGATTGTAAACATTAAGGAAGAGTGTAGTTAAAAAGTGTCTGGCACCGCATAATTACTTTATAAGTATTTAAAAAACCAAGCCCACTGCCACTGAGTACATTCTGAGCTACCTCAATCCCATATGAGCTCCTGAGACTATGGAGCAGAAAAGCAAACCAAAGTCACAGCCACCAGTGGATTCCGACTCATCGCGATCCTACAGGACAGGCTACACCTGCCCCTGTGGTTTCTGAAGCGTAACTCTTCGCGGGAGGAGAAAGCCTCGTCTTTCTCCCTGGGAGTGGCTGGCGGCTTTGGACCGCAGACCTTGAGGTCAGCAGCCCACTACACCACTAGGTCTCCTTTGAGGAGTCGAAAGCCTCACTTTTCTCCTGAGGAGGTATGAGTGGGTTTAAACCACTGACTTGTGGTTAGCAGCCCAATCCCTAACCTTATTAACAATAATCATCTTTGCCAAATTAAATTATCTTTAGAAGAAACTATATCACTTAAAAAAAACACCTTCTTAGTAGCATGTAACTCCTCTGGCAAAGGTTATAAAAATAATTCTTTAAACAAACCATGAGGATTGAAGCAATAGGCATCCCATCTTTCACTCCTGTTGAGACGGATTCCGTAATCAATAATACCAGTTTTTCCGAATCCACAGTTGGGCCCTGGCTTCACAATGGGATAGCCAACTCTGCCCTTGGCCATCCATCCAGCAGCACACACATGAAATCCTGCAGGGGAGAGAGAGCTAATTAACTCACTCAGCTGAACAAAGACTGCCCCTTCCAACAGTGAGTTTCTCAAGCTCAAAAACATTTCATGGAAGAGAGAAGCAAGGGTTTTCTTAAAAAAAACACAACAACCAAAAAACCAAACAAACAAAAAGTATATGTTGTATATATGTGCTTACATTGTAAATATAAAACATAATGTCTTACTTTTATTAGAAAATGATTTCTTGCCCACATGGAAGAAGCACACCAGCCTGTGCGATCACAAGGTGTCGAAGAGATCAGGTATCAGGCATCATCAGAACAAAAAATCATATCATTGTGAATGAGTGGGATAGTGTAGAGTGGAGACCCAAAGCCCATTTATAGGGCACTGGAGATCCCCTTGCTGAGGGGTCTGGGGAGGAGTCGAGCCAGTCACGGTGCAATGTAGCAACGATGAAAAATACAACTTTCCTCTAGTTCCTAAATGCTTCCTTCCCCCCACTATCATGATCCGAATTCTACCTTGCAAGTCTGGCTAGACCAGAGGTTGTACACAGGTACAGATAGGAACTGGAAACACAGGGAATCCAGGGCGGATGATCCCTTCAGGACCAGTGGTGTGAGTGGTGATACTGGGAGGGTAGAGGAAGAGTGGGTTGGAAAGAGGGAACCGATTACAAGGAACTATATGTGACCTCCTCCCTGGGGGACGGGCAACAGAAAAGTGGGTGAAGGGAGACATCGGACAGGGCAAGATGTGACAAAATAATACTTTATAAATTATCAAGTGTTCATGAGGGAGAGGAGAGCAGGGAGGGAGGGAAAAAAGGAGGACCTAATGCCGGGGGCTTAAGTGGAGAGCAAATGTTTTGAGAATGATGAGGGCAATGAATTTACAAATGTGCTTTACACAATTGATGTATGTATGGATTGTGGTAAGAGTTGTATGAGCCCCTAATAAAACGATTTAAAAACTTTCTAATAAACTCTAATTGAAGAAAGAAAGAAAAAGAATACCGTAACTATAATACAATTTTAAAAAAAGAAAAAGAAAATGACTTCTTATTTGAGAAATGAAAAGATGGATCCTTCTCCTTGTGGCTATGAAAACAAGCTGCATCATTCAGAGCTGGCTTCATGAACAAGCCCATGGAGCTCAATGAGATGGATCCTGAAATGACTACCAATTCTGGGGAAAATTTTTTTTCAGATGGTAATTGAATTAATTTTATTTCAGAATGAGTCAAGGTACTGTGAATAGTTTTAAAATTTTGAAGAAGGAAAATAGCCTCATAAATTTCAATCAAAGGCTAAGCGCTGTTCTTGCTCAATTTCGAAGGCTGTTTGAATGTCTGCTGGTGTGGTCTAGGGGTGATTTACAGCAGACCAGGATGTGAGACTTGTGCATCCACCATTCCAACTCCTGCCTCCTACACATCCCTACGAACATAGAGCGAGGACAATAGTTCTAGCAGGCTGAAGGACATTTCAGAGAACAGCTTTATTTTTAATTTGAGTAATAGATAATACTAGTATAAGTCTTACGTAGCGCTGTCCTGTCAGCAAAAGGGTTAATTCAATGGACGAGAGAATTTTAAATGGGGGCGGCTTTGGAGTCTCTTGAAAGACCAGGAAACAGTATCTCTATCAGTACCTTTTGCGTAGACTCATGGTAACCTCATGTGTGTCAGAGTAGACAAGGAGGTCTAGCTTGTTGACAAGGAGGTTGCCAGGCCTTTCTTCCAAGCACCTGTTCGTTAGCAACAGTGGGTTAAAGGTTTGCACCACCCAGGAATTCCACTACCATAGAGTCAATAGGATGGGAATCAACTCCCCATGATCATATATAGATTTCTGGGAGTAGACAGCGTCATCTTTCTCCTGTGGTGGGTTTGAACTACAATGTCTAACACACGGCACCACAGGGCTCCTTAAAGAAGCAAAATGTGCCAGTTACTAATTCCTGGGGTTTTCACCACATCTCCTGATGTTATCTTCCTGGTTTCTTTTCCTTGCCTTTGTAAACTGTTTATCCTCCTTTTTGTCATAGCTTTTGTTCTTAGCATATAGAGCCATTCGTCCTTTTAAAAAAGTAACACAAAAAGAGTTACTAAGTCAAATATTTCTCGGAACCAGCCAAGTTCCTTTTAAGACTCAACATGAGAGTCTAAATTATACTCAGAAGTCAAGAAGAGGAAGAACCATGTTAAAAACAAATAGCAAGGGCATTAAAATTAGTACAGAATATTCAGGTAATGAGGTTTTTATTTTCTGATCACTTTTACTGATGTTACGTATTTTGTAACCGACTATGCGTCATGACCCAAAGGAAGTTGCTAGTACTGCACTAGGACTTTCCAGAGCTGCCGGCAGAGAGGTTGAGGAGGAGTCCGAGTAGGATGTCCTGGGCGAAGGGAACCATCAGAACATCAGAAGAAGGGTCTAGAGAGGAAAGCCGCCTCAAAGGGTTAAAGAAAAGTGGCTATCTCCCCCCCCCCCCCAACAGATTGAGAGAGACTAACAATCTCTGTCAAATTACATACCAATTTTTCTAGCTGCCTCCAGTTGCTTGTACTTGGCAAGGCGCCCACCTTCATATTCGCACACTGCCTTGGCTTCCGAGTAAGTGAGCTTGTATCTGCCAGAGCGCGCTTCTCTGTGGTACACTCCCGCGGCTTGTTCTGTGAAATCACAAAATGTCATTAGCTCACATCTTGCAGAAGTCAGGGAAATTTGGTGGCTTCAACTGGAAGACTGCATCAGCTGTTTTTGCTGCTAGACGGTTTCTTGGGATGGTCACCTTGGCCAGCTAACTTTTCATTGTCAGAAAACTCTGGGGGGACATTATGAATGAAGGAATTTTAGGGGCGTTTGGGGTGACAGACAGAAACTTGAGGCTAAATTATGTTTCTGAACTGAAAACCCACAAAAAAAGATTTTAATACAACTTGATATTTCTACAGAATCATAAAGTGACAAAGGTTTGATTTTCCTTTTATATGAAAACATAGGAAGCTAAACAAGAGTGGACGGTGGAAGGAGATGAAGGCATTGGAAAGGGAAACCGATTACAAGGATCTACATATAACCTCCTCCCCGGGGGACGGACAACAGAAAAGTGGGTGAAGGGAGATGTCGGACAGGGCAAGATATGACAAAATAATTTATAAATTATCAAGGGCTCATGAGGGAGGGAGGAGCAGGGAGGGGAGGGAAAAAAGGAGGACCTGATTCCAGTGGAGAGTAAATGTTTTGAGAATGATGAGGGCATTGAATGCATGTACAAATGTGCTTTACACAATTGATGTATGGATGGATTGTGATAAGAGTTGTATGAGCCCCTAATAAAACAATTAAAAAAGAAATAAAGAAAAAAAGAAACCAATGAAAATCAATCTATTACATAGATTCACAATGATGGAGAAAAATAATTCCCAATAACCATTTGAGGGAGGTGACTGAAAATGTAATAAGGAAAAAAAGGTTTGATGAATCCAAAGTAATCAGACACAGCTGAGAAATAACTAGACACACCTAAAAGCCAATTCCTATGAACTATCTGATTTGTCTTTTTCGGTTCACATGTTGTTCCCAACATATTTCATGCAGTGTTAAGTCAACATGAGTTGTCACTGTTTAAGTCCATTGTTTTGAGTTTGGAATGCACTTTGCCATAGAAACAATGTGAAGAAGATTCCCAGGACATCAATTTTAATGCTGGCTCTAAGAGGCTTTTCTTTCTGTTGAGATTTCTGCTCCTCAACGTTGTCAACCAGTCATTAATTTTCTGAGTCAAAAAGTTCATTACAATTGTAATCTGTTTTACCAATCTTTTTTCCCTCTCTTTCTTTCAGAATCATGTTAGATTAAGTATTTTATCCCAGTTCTGCAATGGATGAATTGTGTGACTGCGTGTAAATTTGTGCCTGAGCCTCAGTTATTGCATCTATGAAATAGAAATAGCGATAGTTTTTTTTTTTAGTAAATAAAAATATTCAAACTCATACACATAAAACTTCTGGGTTTTGTAGGCACTCAAAACTCTTATGACAGCCCTTGCGACCCTCGAAGAATGAGAATCTGAATAGGCATGATGGAAAAACAAACAAAAAATTCATTCTTGCCCATTTTCTCAGCAATGCAGATTTCGTTGTTTTGTTGTTTTTTGCTGAGACTTCCCATGATCATCCTGCGTCTTTTCCCCATTGGAATCAGTTGCCACAACCTTCTGTCTTAAACGGAACTGGTCCCACAGATCTGTTCCGATGGGGCCTTTCTTGTTTTTGAGGGCCTCTCTCTAGTGCATCACGATAAGCCTAGTGCGTCGTGATAAGCCTAGCGCATCACGATAAGACTAGTGTGTCGCGATAAGACTAGTACGCGCGCAAAAGACCTGTATGTCACGATAAGAGACCAACATGTTGGCGTTGACAGATGTGTCACGATAAGGAACCCGCGCCACGATAAAGAACTGAATGTCACGATAAAAGACCAGCGCATCACGATAAAAAGGGGCTTATATGTCACGATAAGACTGGTTTTTGTCACGATGAACACCTGTGTGCCACGACAAAAGACTTGCATATCACAATAATGAGCATGTGTCACGATAAAAGCCCCCCACACATCATGGTTAAAGACCTGTGTGTCGTGATAAGACTGACGTATCACAATAAAGACCATGTGTCGCGATAAGACTGGCATGTCACGATAAGACAGGCGTTTTCCATTTCATAATGAATTTAAACTAGCTGAAACTTCTTTGTTCCCTTGTGATGCAGAGTTGGACTGGAAGGTCCCATTTTATCAGTGAGGAAAGAGACCTAGAGAGTTCAAAGTCTTGAGAGTTACTGGTATTTTTTGACTTCTAATATCCCACTTTCTTTTCTCTCTAGTGTCTTATCCAACCAACTGCAAATAATTTGTGCTAGAAGACTAGCCAATAATTTGTCTGAAATTAAAGCAACTGGCGATTATCCCAAAGCCTCAGATTTGTAGCATACCATTAACAAAGATTTGGGGTTTTGTCCTCCATATCTCTGGGTAGAACTTGAAATGTGCTGCTTTCTATTTTATAATCTATAGCATCACTTAAAAAAGACTACTTGAACTCCAATTACTTGCTAAGTGTTTGACAGTTTCTCAGTTTATCCACATAAGTTTAATCTTTACCAGTCTTATCCCATTTCCCACCATTTTGATTAATATGTATATATTTTCCAAGCATGATGTGTGTGATGAAAACAAACAGTGTTTCGCGCATTCCAGTAGTAAATCCCAGGACCTATCTCGGCCAAATGGACCACATTTTTCAGCATGAAACTAGTTCACTGGCTCAAGCTGAAAAGAGAAACAGCAAAGCTGTGCATTACAAATCGGGCTTTTTAATGAAACCCTCATGGCTGCAGTTACTACCAGAGAGGATCTGCAGAAGGGGAAACTCCCCTACAACTGTGCTGCATAAAGCCGACATCCAGGTCACTGTAACTTTTCCTCGCTCTTTATTTCCGTAAGGAACAAGAATATCTCAATCTTCTGCTCAAGAAATTCAAAATGTTTCCATTATTAAACACAACAAAAAGTCTAAAACAGTATTAACTTGTATGCCTCATGAGTATTAAAGCATTTGTTTAGAGTACTGCAAAGGTCGTTTTGAGTTATCTTTATTTTGTCTTTTCTGTCCTACTGTTTATCTTCACATTTTGGCCAATGTCATAATTGCATTGAACAAAACAGAACTTCCTTTGTCTAACAAAAGGCTTCGAAAAATAGATGCACAACAGGCAGGCTAGGGGTAAAAATGCATTCAGAAACACAACCCTTTCTCATTCTTTCTACATGGCAAGCGGATCATCAAAATGGTCACGATGTTGAGAAAACCAAAGTCCACTACTCACAAAAGTACAGGAAGCACTGCTTATAAATATTTTACATAAACATTTTACATATGCTGGTTTTCCTATTGTGATGCTGAGATCTGACTGTAAATACATTTAAATAAAAACAGGAGAACATAGTAGGTTTTTTTTTAAACAAAGAAACACCCTCCAACCACATTTTCAACTCTGCCTTGAAAAAATCAAAATGTGTTTTCATATGGAATACAGATATAAACCTCTATTTTCTACTGAGCAATTCTATTTACACATTCTAGTCTAGAAGGCAAGGGGACTTTCTGAAAAAAGAATATATATGGACTGCACTGGAGATCTTTCCTGGGAATTTTCTTTGAAACCATCCACCTACACAGAATTGACAATTTTACTGCTTTGATTCAATTCTTTATCATTTGAAAGGAATTGGCCTTGCTAAGAAGAAGAGCACGAATGAAAAGTCTCTTACCAAGCCATATGGAGTTGTGAAAAATCCCATTCTTGTATCCCCAGCCGTGAGTCTCTTCCCACAGCAAGACAAATATAACAATGAAGATGTTATACATAACGTCTGTAGCAGAGCAGAAATGGCCTGTCAGGGGCTGCACGGGATAAAGTCTCAGAGCAACTGCTGAACTGCGACTGAAACATCTGGTTTCCACTTCTCTTAAATAGTTTTTTCAGCTGTGAGGTCAGCAAGAACTCTCCAATGGCATTTTCTCCTTAGAGTTACACAAGTAACTCAGTGTCTGAGGCCAAGCCTCTGACTCATTTGCATTGGCAACTGAAACCAAGAGTATAGAATGATCATCTATATTTTAAAATTCAGTTACTCATAAAGGGGCTCAATTGCTGTCACACACACTTCTCTTCTAGGAAGGTTGTGTGACTGTGGGCAGATTTTGCAGTGATATAAAAGACAACAACAACAAACAAACAAAAAAAACCCTGGAAATTTAAAATGAAATATGATCACTATTGTATTTACAGTAGGTCAGTTATGGGGTCTGATAAAATGCTAAAGACCCAGATATTAGAGATGCTATATTAGTTTGCCTTAAACTTTGTCAAGCTTGTACAGAAAATGGAAAATTAAATGTATGCCCATTTGGAATATCTCCCGGCTTTCCCAGAGCTATAGGATTTCCTTAAACACTGTTTATTTGTCCTGTGGTGGAATCTGTTTCAGTTCTTGGCTTATTAAGGTCAGCAAGCAAATACATCAGCAGTTAGAACTGTAGTTCAGTGTCAGAGCTTTGGGATATTCCAGCAGCCTTGCAGTATCCTAAGGAGCCCTGGTGTTGTAGTGGCTACTTGTGGGGCTGCGAACCTCATAGCCCGCAGTTGGAAACCACCAGCAGCTCTGCGGGAGAAAGAGTGGGGTTTCCACTCCCGTTCCAGACTGTCAGAAACCCACAAGGGATCACTGAGTCACCAGTGACTCAACGGCAATGAGTTTGGTTTTGGATTATCCTATTATAATCTCAAAATTTCCCAGGATACCTGTTACTGAGTAGGAGCTCTGGTGGCATAGTGGTTACAAATTGGGGTGCTAACCACAAGGTCAGTGGTTCAACACCATTAACTGCTCCAAAGGAGAAAGAGGAGGCTTTCTACTCCTGTAAAGAGTTACAGTCTTGGCAATCTACCTGGGGCCAGGTCTAGTCTCCACTGTAAGGTCTCTTGGTATCAACTCTATGGCTGTGAGTTTGGAGTGCTGGACCCATTGAAGTTTTGTGAGAAAAGTGTGGAGGCCAGCCTCAGGTCACCCTGTCTTTGAAGAAGATGATCAAAAAGTTGCAGTTAGGTGCCCTTGAAATTAGTTCTGACTCACAGCAACCCTAAGTACTACAGAACAAAACAGTAACCTGTGTCGCCCCAGCTCACAACTGTTGTTGTGTTGGAGCCTAGTTTTGTAGCCACAATGTCAAACCCTTTTATTGAGGGTCTTTCTCTTTTCCACTGACCCTCTATTTTAGCATGATGCTCTCCTCCAAGGATTGGTCCTTCCTGATGCACAACAGAGTATGCACAACAAAGTCTCATTATCTTGCTTCTACAAAGTCTCATCCTCCTTACTTCTAAGGAGTATTCTGTCTATACTTCTTCCAAGACAGATTTGTTAGCTGTTCTGACAGTCCATGGTCTATTTAATATTCTTTGCCAGAAAAAAGAATTTAAATCCATCAGTTCTTCCTGCTCTTCCTTTTTCATGTCCAGCATTTGCATGCATGCAGTAATTGATAAGACCATGGCTTGAATCAGGTGTCCTGGTCCTGCTGTCTTATCGCTCCTTACTGGAGCACTTGTGAGGAATTCAAGCCAATGGTCCAGAGTTATTTGGAGGTATGCCTCCAGTTACTATTGTTGCTAGCTGCTATCAGCAGGAGAAAGATGGACTTTCTACTCCTCTAAAGAGTTACAGTTTTAGAGACCCATGGGGCCAAGGCCAAGTGATTTTCATTGGTTGATTTTCATTGGTAGATCATCATACCTTTGTCTTCCTAATTGGTCTTATTCTGAAAGGTCTCCTGAAACATATTTAGCATAATTTCATCAAGGAAATACAAAACAGAGCTTTAATAATGTGGCTCTAGTTTTGAAGGGATGTTCAATTTTACTGCGAAAGGAAAACCCCCCAGAAAATGTAGTCTTTATATGGAAAGATGCAATGATATGGTTGGGGAACCCAAGGGAGGAAGAAGGATAGAGAGCAGAGAGAAGAGTAGGAAACGGAATGTCTGCTGATGAACTGATCTGAGATGTGCTCTAGGAAGCACCCCCACCTGACCCCCAGGATACCTACCCAGGATGGGTCTGGTATGGAGCTGAGTGGAAAACCTCTCACACAAGTTTATTTGAAGGGCGCAGCCAAGCTTTACTAGGCAAATGCTCTCTTCATGAATAAACAACCACCCCCACCGCCCACCCCTGAGAATTGGGCTGTGCTGTGCTCATTCGGTACCTTCCTGTTATCAGCTGAAAGATCCAGCAACCTTGATTTCTGCAGAGTCATGAAACCACTTTTGAGTACCCTTTTGGTTCCAGTGTAGCAACCCATAAGCAACAGTTGTCAGCTGTGGAGCCGGTTACCTATTCTTGACAACTCATATACAGTGGAGCAAAATGCTGCCTGATCCTTGTGGCATCCACATGGTTGGTGGTGGATTTAATCATTGTAATCCATTGACTGATTTGTAACAGTAGGCTTCATGGCCTTTCTAATCTGTCTGAGTCTGGAAGCTCTGCTAAATTCAGTTTGGCAACATAGCAACACATAAACCTCCAGTGAGAGATGGGTGTGGCTGCACATGAATTATATTCTCTGGGTATTGAACCTGGCTTTCCTGAGGGGTAAGTGAGAATTCTAGCACTGAACCACCAATATCCCCAATCTAAGCAACTATTAGATATCTAAAAACTCAAAATTCATGGCCATCAAGTCAATTCTGACTCATAATGACCCTACAGGACATGGTAAACTGCCCCTGTGGGTTTCCAAGACTGTAACTATGTAGGTGAATAGAAAGCCTCCTGTTCTCCCAAATAGATATCTAAAAGACATGGTGAAGTCCTTTATTTGAATTGGGCTAGGACGACATTGAACAAGCTGACAATCTCCTAAAGTGGCATAGTAGAAGATAGGGGAATCTAAAGCTCATGTTAAGGGTCATTTTCAAGCTCAGTTTCAGTTGATATGGAAGAGTCTTGTAGACACAGACAGAGGTGGGGAAAGAGAAATGGAAGAGAAACACGCTCTATGAGATCACATATTTGATTATACTTTGAGTTTAAATGAAAAGCCATTGTGGAAACATGCAATTCTTTGGCACACAATATGAAAATGAGAGCATCAGTGAGATCAATAAGTGAAGATCTTTTATAACCTTGGAAAGAAAAGGAAAAAGCAAGAGGAGATAAAGAAAAGGGTGGGACTCGGTGAATTGTAAAATGTGCCAATAGAGGAGAGCATTAAAAACACTTCCAGTAAGGTCTTGACATTGAAATACTGAAATGTCCAAGCTATCCTAAGATCTCAATGTGGACTGGGATGTGGATAGAGTCATAAAAGAAAAGTCATTCCATCTGTGACCCTGATCTAAAACAATCAGTGTAAAACTCTAATATATGGAATAGGACAAGGTTAAATAAGTGAAGTACTACATGCCATTCTAGTTATTCATTCAACAAATGCTTAAGAACTTTCAAGTGGAACACTGCTAACTTTAGTGGGGCAAATGAGCAGCCTGGCGCCTAAATAGAGCAATGAGAAATGTCTGGAAAATGGAAACAATTTTTTTCTCACATCAGGAAGCTTTTACTAAGGTGCAACTCTTGGTCTCTCTTCATTTGGAGCAGAGAAAAGGGTAGAAAATCAAAGATGCATAGAACAAGTAGTCCAAATATCTCTGACTCTCCACATTCTGGCCACATGGTAACATTGTACTTCTTCGTGTGGCTTGATGTGATTATGTGGTTACTTTCAGCCAATGAGTTGTGAGTAGTAGTTATATACATTATCTCTGCTATAAGCATTTAAGGCTTTTCTGCTCTGGCATGTAGGGAGGTATTTGAGGCTGGGACCCTCCAGCAACCTGGATCCCTAAATGACTCCAGGATGATATATAGTATATGTGAAATATAAACCTTTCTTATTTTAAAATCTTGCTGTCTTGGAGCACCGGGTTGAAGTCTGGAAACACAGAGATTTCAGGACAGATGAACCCCACAGGACCAGTGGTGAGAGTGGCGATAGCGGGAGGGAGGAGGGAAGGTGAGGTAGAAAGGGGAAACCCATCATAAGGATCTACATATAATCCCCTCCCTGGGGGATGGACAACAGAAAGGTGGGTGAACAGAGACGTCAGACAGTGTAAGACATGACAAAATAATAATAATTTATAAATTATCAAGGGTTCATGAGGGAGTGGGGAGCTGGGAGGGAGGAGGAAAAATGAGGAGCTGATACCAGGGACTCAAGCGGGAAATGGATGTTTTTGAGAATAGTGATGGCAGCAAATGTACAATGTGCTTGACACAATGGATGGATGGATGGATGGTGATGAGTTGCACAAGCCCCCAGTAAAATGATTTAAAAAAAAGTTTTGCTCAAACCTTGTTTTTTGTGACATCCAATTTAAGAGAATAGCATGTGGCTGTGAAATTTTGGTTCCTGCTCAGGAAGCATGCTGCAGAAACTGTTGTGATGTTGAGCACACCTTACAAGGGCAGCGCTATGAGAAAACCTCAAGTGTACGAGGGGTTTTCTCCTTTCAAGAAAGGTAAAATGTGGATTAATGACAAACCTTGCTCTGGATGTCCATCAATTTACCAAATGGATGAAAATATCTATTTAGAGGTTCTTTAAAGATTGCATAACAGTGTGTGATAAAAAAGGCCTGCTTTTGGCAGATGGGGGACTGGTTTTGCCACCACAACAATGCACCTGCTCATGCAACCATCTCAGAGTACCAGTTTTTCATATAAAACTGCATGCCTCTCTTGCCCCACTCACCTTACTCACCTGACCTTGCTCCTTTTGACTTCTTTTTGCTTCTGCAAATGAAGAGGGACTTGAAAAGATAGTGATTTGACGACTTAGAATAG